GAATGTTACCAAACGTTACAATTGATTACTCTGTTTGTCACATTATGCAGTAAAAGCGGCCATAAAGTTTAAAGGTGAAATTCTGCATCGGGCAACGTATTACGGGAGTCATAATGGCCACGGAGGCATGTTGTGTTTTTCGCACCTCATTAGACGCAGGGAGGGGCGTGAGAAACGTCCGCGGTATATAGGTGTGAAATAATTGCAGAGGAGCAGCAGCTTCGTTAGGCTTATTTATAGCTTCCTCAGAAGGCGGGAAAGTGTCTCTTGGTGCATTACAGGCCATTACGCGTGCGTACAACGCAGTGTTTTGCCAGGCCAGTGGGGACGGCATCATAAATATCATAAATGCCAATACGTGTGGGGGGGGGGGGGGGCCCTGGCTGTCTGTGCGTCTGTACACACGTGCGCACGCACACAAAGACAAAGATCCCCCGTTATAGCCTGTGTAGATTATTTGGGCAAGTGCTGTTAGCGAGCACCTATGAAAGCAGGCACTGTGGCACACGACAAGAGTGGGTGGCCAGCACCACGCACGGCCGCCTTCGTCTCCCCGGCGGCGATGTTTCCACATTGCACCAGGTACTAATTTCAGGCCGAGTCGACCTAGGGGAGGCCCATGACCAGTTAAGATAATCATCACTGATGTTGGCTGTGAGCGGGAATCGAAATCGAGTCGCTGGGTTTGTGGCATAGTGCGCTAACCGCGACACAACCGCTCCTCATACAAACACGCGCACTCAAATGCCGTCTGTGCGTTCATGTCCGCTGCCACCAATTACACAACAACATTTTACATCCAGTGCATACTGGAAATTGAAATGTATTGGCATTTTGGCCGATAGAAACATCTACCTTGGCCAGCAGCTGTAAACAATACGCTAATAATAGTATATCCATTTGCATGGGGGCTTCCGAGTGCTGCCCTCCCCCAAGATACCATGTCATTTTAAATGGCACTGTTGTTTCAATACAATGGAGCTTTGCTATTTCGTGGATAAAATTGGGCTGCCTTCAAAGAGTGCAATGTTATGGAACGAATGGTTGTAATGGGGTTTCCAGTTCATTTAAACTTTTCTCCGCAGGTATTTTAGGAAAATAAACAAGTCAGGCAGGACGATGCCATGAGTGAGCAAAGCTTTTCGCTTCAATAAACCTTTACAGGTAGCCTTAATTAATTCTGCCTTCCCAAACAACATTGCTAAAATAATACTTCCTGTCGGTATAGTCTTCAGCAGTGGTGAAAATTTTAATTCGACACAAATTGTTTGCCAGTGCCATTGTTGGCAGTAAGGGTCTCCTACTGAAGACAGCTCTTGGCAGCCCGACTAGATGGTATATTGGCCTACTCTTTCACAATGGCCAAGATGCCTCGGAAGAGGTGACAGTACCCACTCTTTACACTTTCATACATGACCTGCTGATCACCTAACCACGGTGAACCCATTTACACTTCAGGGTGAACCGAAGCAGGAAGAGATTTAAGAAACATACACCGTTGTTTCAACTGCCGTGCTGGGAGATGGAACTGGCGACCTTTGGATCACCAAGTCCAGTGTGCAAACGACTAATGCCACATGAAGAATGTCAATCAACAGCAGAACTTAAATTGAGTTTACAGCCAGCATGGCCATGAAGATAAATAATACCCCTTTCAAAAATTAAGATTCCAGAAATTTGACATCAATCACTCAGATGAAGAAGTTGGAAATTAAATTGATACGATTCACGAACAACCGCCCAGATTAACACTAACACCACAGCAGCATCCCTGACCCAGACGCATTCAAAAGATCCTCTACACTGCCCTTCATGGTTCCACTACCACGGGATGTTGAGTCTGCCCACGTGAGCCCCAGGTCACGCTGACCCGGTTTCCGTGCCCCCTTGGTCGTGTTTACAAGTGGACTCGCACAACAGCGCATTCCATTAATTCCCTCTCGAGTCCATTGCACCAACTAAGACCAAAAGACAGGGGGTGTTTGACAGCCGGCCATTCACGATATACAGGTGTGGTAGCGGAATGTCCAAGGGACAGAAGTGGGACCATTGCAAGCATGTGAGCTTGTCTGGGCATGAGAGAATGGTCTGTTTAACCATGAACCTCCCTTCTGGTTGCACACCGTAGACAACAGCCGTGAAAAATACTCACGAATATTCCAACATATCACAAATAATAGTGCCGCCACGCAGGGAAATGGTTGTGAAAATGAGAGTTGTCTTGCTCGGTGGCTTGATGGTGACACGGCAGACAGTGTTTGGTGGTGGATGATCTGCGTGCGGGACATTTGAGGTTGAAATAAAACTGGATAGCTAGCGGACATCTTCATCAGGCATTGGAGTGAAAGAAAGGAGCCATTCTTAGGAACACTGAAACTGCTTGGAATGATGATGGAAAATTCAGAAGTATATTACCGTCAAGAGGTCGAGTTTAAAGTCATATTTTCACGTAAGAGAAAAGAAGGAATAGCACACAGCGATCATTTCAAAGGAATTATACTGCATTACATTCAAATAAAGATGCTATTTCTTAAAGACTGCAGACATTTCAGCAAAATTCCAGAAACCTGTTAATAATACAAGCATATGCTCCAGCATTAGACTCAGATGAGTTATTTGATTTTTGTCATGACAGCTGAAGATGCATAAAATACCTCAGAAACACAATGACAGCAATACTGCTGGGCTATCTTCTTTGGTTCTTTCGGTAAAGTCACGTAGAATGAGAACAAAATAATAAAATAAAACAATTAAATTCTCACGACGTTTCGGCCACAACACAAGTAGCCTTCTTCAGGTGAAGGAACAAAACTGTCGGGACGACAGAGCTTTAATGAACTCTCGTCCCGACAGTTTTGTTCCTTCACCTGAAGAAGGCTACTTGTGTTGTGGCCGAAACGTCGTGAGAATTTTATTGTTTTTATTTTATTATTTTATTCTCATTCTACGTGACTTTACCGAAAGAACCAAAGAAGATGAATCCTTGCAGTCACGAAAGCTTTAAATCGAAATTTAACTGCTGGGCTATTTTGATGCGAATGTTTGAAATCACAAAGTGCAGGATATTGTGTGACCATTATCGCTTGTTTAAAGGTGTATCAATATATATTCAGATACAGCATTAGATACACAAAGAATATCAACCAAGAGCAGAACTTAGATTCGAGTTCACAGCCAGCATGGACATGAAGATATACAATACCCCTTTCAAAAATGAGGATTATAGAAAATTGACATCAAGCACTCAGATGAAGAAGCTGGAAATTAAATTGATGCCATTGGTAAACAACCGCCCAGATTAAGTGTGGGTATTCTGATACAAGACATGTGGCCGGGAATAAAATGAGCCAAAGCACGTTGCAGAGTAGGAACAAAACGAAGGAATGCCTACGGAGTTTGAAATGAGAAAAGGCTGTCTTCATTCTTTTGGTTATAACATCTACAACGACTGATTTCCATATCGAGGAAGTAGAAATACGAAATTATGTTTCGGTATGAATATAATGAAAGTAAATTACCCAAGATAAACTGATGACAGATATTCTTACCGATGATAGGTGAGATCAACAATGAAAAAAATAAACCTATTAAATAAAAATGATGTAATGGCATTGAAGAAAACGAAAACTAACGTTACGGTGATAATTAAAGTTCTGGGTAAAAAAGTGCAAGATTAAAAAAAGGTTAAGAACTTCAACAAGTTGACGATTACAAATACTCAGGAACGTGGATGGTTGAATCACGAACGATATATATAGCACATTCGAGTTGATGAGGCCATGCATTCCAGAATCAAAGCGTTTGTTACAAGCAGTTATTAACTAACAAACAGATGCTGAGAATTTTGATTTAAAGCTTTCGTGACTGCAGTAATTCATATTCTTAGCTCTTTCGGTAAAGTCACATTTAAGGGAAACAATAAAATAATAAAACATATATAAAAAATAAAAATTCTCACGACGTTTCGACCATCACACAAACGGTCATCATCAGGTGTGAAAAGCAACGGCAAGAAACATTTGAAAGAAGTGGCGGTTTGCATTTATTTATTTTTTAAAAGGCGCTTATTTATTTATTTTTTAAAACACCGTTCTAAAAATAAATAAATGCAAACCGCCACTTCTTTCAAATGTTTCTTGCCGTTGCTTTTCACACCTGATGATGACTGTTTTGTGTTATGGTCAAAACGTCGTGATAATTTTTTATTGTTTTATATATATTTTATTATTTTATTGTTTCCCTTCAACGTGACTTTACCGAAAGAGCTAAGAATAAGATGTTGAGAAGTGATGTTTGTCAGCAATCAAATGAAGATTAACTTTCACCAAATAAAAAATAAACAAATTAAAACAAACAATCAATTGCGATATTACAGTAGAATGCTGAACATTAACTAGAAGAACAAAATTAATAATAGGGTTTAATAAGAGGGTTCACAAATAATTGTCATAAACCCGATCGTTATTTTAACCACGACTGCACAAAGTGAAATGGCATTTGCGGGACATGTGGAGAGACAATACTGTGTGCGTAGACGCAATTTAATCTCGGAAAAAAGATGAATACGTGCAGCTAAAGAGGTGTACCGAGAGAAAAAATATGTGCGTGGATGACCTAAGATAAGAGACATCAACATAGTTACCAAGAGATTATGAGAAAGCAGATGGGGGAAACCTAAGAAGATTTAGATTGCTAATTTTGGGGAAACAAGAAGGCAACCTGCTGTTGACAATACAATACAGCACACGCAACCGCCACACAAAACCAAATAGCAAAGCATTGCATTTATATATAGCTTCCTTCAGGGGTTCACTTACAAATGCAATGTTGTTTCTGTGCCTTTTTTTCATTTCCGAAAATCTATCCTCATCTTCATACGCACAGCAGAAGGCTCATTTGGCAGCGCACAGCTGTGCTGATGTTAACATTGCTGCCTCGAAATACTCTCTCTCTCTCGATGTCCAGCTGCTATCATGCACTGTGGAAGTTTGCACCATTACCTGTTTTTCAGGAAACAAATTGAGCTCTTTTCTTCTCCCTTAATTTCTCCCAGAACATCTGGTATCATGTCACCATCAAAGCTGTTAAGTACACACAAAAAGACAATCATCCACTGTATAGCCATGACAGACTGTTGGGCCAAGTGCTGTTAGCATGCACCTGTGAAGGCCGATCACGACCTTGGTGCAGGCCACCCACACGAGAGGATAGGTGGGTGGCCAGCACCATGCCCAACATACACGCACGCATCCACGTACTTATGCAATATTTATGTAAATGTCATGTCAAGTGGTATTTCATATTCAAAATATGTTACATTGCATAATGTAAAATGTTCTCATTTGTCATACATTTTCATTATTTTTTATGTAATCAAAGGTTGAAAATATTTAAAATGGCAAAATTAAGGTAGTATGTATTCTATTACGATGGCATCTGCAAATTAAATATAAAATCTGTCATAAGCAATGTTGTGCCAGGCAATTACTAATTGTGAAACCGCTAACTAAACACAGTACGCAGTGTCTAGTGCTCGGGACTAAATCATTATTTATTCTTAGGATATATATTAATCAAATTAAGTGGAAAAATAAATGCATATTAAAACTACAATGGTAACACACAGTAACCACATTAATTGGTGATGCTACTGTGTGGCAGTCGTGCCCTATAACAATTCACAAAAAAACTAACTAACATTCATCAATAACAATGTGGTCTTAAAATAGATAAGAGTTGACATTTTGGGCAAAGTACCTTCTTCAGAGAACACAATAGATGAATATGAATACATGTTACTTTTTCTCCTGGTGAAGAGATAAATGTGTGAACCTCATAGGGTTTGTTTTGGGCTTCAAATATGTTTTGTAAGCCAAGTTATTATTTAAAGCTTTCGATTAATTTCACGCGACAATTAAAATAATTTCCATTAAATCACATGAAGAAATAACTTCTTGCTCCGAGTCAAAGGACACAATGCTAGTAGTGTCAGTCGTCCCCGACTTGCAAGGATTTTGAGGTGTTCTGGCAGCTACATTCGGTCAAGGAACTTTAGCAAAATTCATAACTTGGGAAAGAGAGCGATTAACCAGATGGGAGAGCAGACTCTTAACTCCCTTTGAGGATGGCACAAGCTGTGACAAAGTGGCTGGTGCATCAGTTGGAAGGTTGCGATGGAGTGCTTGCAGTGCTTTGCGCCGGCCCTGGGCTGCGCTGTGACACACTAATGCGAGTATATTTATACAGTTTATTTATAAGCTTTATTCCATTGGGATGCATTCAAAATGCGTATCCTTGGAGATGTGGCTATTCTGCAGTATTCTCCGAATCTCCTACACAGAACGGTGAACTGACGGCATCATGCTATCGCAAACTGGGGATTGTATTTGGAGCTTTCTGCGAAAAGTTGCTTGGTTTAAAATTGGATAATCAATCGTGGCAATGTCGAGAGCGGAAGTGCTGGCGAGCCGGTCCAAAAATGTGCGTATGTATGTTGAACTTCTTTCACACCGTGCTTAGCCAACCACGCAAAATCGAAGGTGCGGGTTAAGGACAACAAACTAACACAAAAAAGCACATGGTGTAGTAAAAATGTAGGAAAGATAGAGAGGCCACTGCTGGATGGATAACTGGTCATGCTAGACTGGCAAGTCTCGGATTGGACAAAAGTCTGGAACAAGCCTGTGCCAGTTGGCAAAGAATGGAGAGGTCTCCATACCTCTTGTGAAGAATATGCTGTTAAGATGATCAAGTCTTCATGCATATATATGTAAAGCGTGCCGTTGTAATGAATTACACTGTATTTAGCATGTAACGTGTATGAATCAGCCACTGCCAAGTCCTCGAATGGGGACAAGAATTACGCGCTGGTCCATAACGTGACGTCTATATTAAATGCATTTGTATAATTAATGTCTGTAAGCTATTTATTTTAATCTGGCTGTCATCCTGGAAGTCATTAAAAATATAATTTGATAACTCCTGGAAGACTGAGCAAATATAATACTTACTCTAATACGAGGGGCTCGTCTTTAAATAGCTGCTCCAGTTTCGTGTGGTTTTCTATAAAGACAGAAACGTGTCCACGTGGGTATAAAACAAAATGTCATTCATGAGAAGATGAAACTGCAACAAATCCTCGCATTTGACTCGACGTCATACAGGTGCGTCCTTAAATTTTCCGGCAGCCCAGTGAATCTTTTGACCACTTGTGAGAATTTCAATAAAGAGGTATCTGCTCCCTGCCATAGAATCCTTGTTTTTCTGGTCTCTCCGTCTTGGTTATTATTAAACCGCACTTCCACATCCCATTACACCCATGCAATGGTCAATAAATCACATCAGTTTCCTGACAACTGGGTGTGCATTCGCTGGAGCTGCATATGCTTTAAAGGAAATCTAAGTCCGTTCATCACAATACACAAAGTGGCAGGCTATGCTAAAATCAATCACTCAAATTTTAAATGCATTATATGACACATTCAGCAGCATAATGGGAACAAGTGAGATCCAAGAAAAAATATTCTGCTTAGCAATGAATGCAATTTGGATAATGGCTTGGTCAAGGCATTCGCATCTGCCATTTAGAATATAACTTTGAATGCGATGATGATAATTTTACAGGATTTGTTCATTAGATAATTAAAAGTAAAGAATTTGTGCGCTTAATTTTACAAATTAATAAGCTTTACTGGCTAGAGAGGATTTTTGTGTAAGGGCCATTGTATAGCTAGACTGGAGATTAAGACATCTTGGAGTGAAAGCGATTTTCAATCTTGTCAATGATATACGAGTTGGGGATGTAAATATGTACTTGCAAAAACGGGAGGTTTTACTCAGGATTTTTTTTTAAGTAACAAGTTTCAGAAACTACAGGTATTGCTACTTTACACAATGACCTGACTGGGCCATCTTGACTGACCAGGTAATTTATTTTTAGGAGATGGATTTAGAAAAACGTAAAACAAATTGGAGGGAGTATGGATGAATTTGTTTGGACATTAGCACGTCGATGAATATGAGACAAGTTGCATCAGCCGCTGGGAATCGTTTCTCTAAAATACTCATCGGCTGATATACTAAATTATTGTTTATTTATTTTTTGTTCAGCAGTAAAACAGAGCCTTGTTTGTATATTTCTGGATGGTGACTAAGCCAAGCGATAGCAAGTGTGCCGCTTGTTGCACGGGATCGCAAGTCGAGCCCATCGGCCACTCTGGTTAATGACGTGGGTGCATTAACTGCTATCAATACATTCAGTCTTTCTTCCCAGCGTATGTTAAAATCTCGTGATGCTTTTGAAAAAACAGAGTAGGCCATGTGTGCCTGCAAATTACTTTAATTAATTTGGTAATATCACTTAAAATTTCCAACCCCCACCTGGCATACTATACATGTCTACACAAAAAATTGAGCATCTGTGATAGCCTTGCTCTTTAATAATGGCACATAATCCAAATGTATTAAATAAATATGAATATTATTCCTCAATTTTATAATTACTTAATACATGTTTTTACCTGTCTTCCCTTGGTTTCCCCAATAAACGGTGAGTTGCTGAAATGCATTATCGAGCGTTGTGGTGGCGACGAGAAGATCCATCTGCGAATCCCCGTCGTAGTCACCTGGTACCACGCTGGTCACAATTTCATTGCTGCAGACGAAGGAGAAACATCGTGAGGGGGGCTGGCCAGCCGATAATGTTATGCTGCCGCCGAGGGTAATGAGCCAGCAATGCTGGGATTCCAGGTTCAAGACCTTGACCTCATCTTATATAAGACTAGGGTTTCATATTTAATGAGACAATAGTATCTGCATGGTTAGCAAACACACACACACACAGCAAGTAGTGGCATTAAATAAATGTTATGTTACGTTTGCATATGAAGTATTAGTGTATTTTATTCCATAAAATACTTTCGTAAGGCATTTTTTTCATTGAAGGGACACGATACGAATGTAGTAATATTTATTAATCGAGTTTTTTATATATATAATGTATATACAGCATATATAGCAATCATGTTTTAAACAGCTATAACAACAGATAGGTAAACATTATTTACCATCATATTAGTAGTATTTATTTCATGTCATAACAACATGTAACGTTACGTGTAAAACTATTAAGCCAGTAATTACTGACAGCCCACCAACAGCGGAGTCATTAATTTGGGGCCACAATTCTATTGAGGAATAGACAATTTCTTGCCATACCAATAATAATTCCCTATATCCACCTCATTATGTATACTGTGTATGTTTCACTCATTATTTCCTGTCGTGTTTACATTGATTTTTGGTTCCAAATATTTTGCCTCATTTGTTTTGTCTTGTATTGTATCTCATTTGTTCTGTTCATCTATCTTTACCATTTGTCTCGTGTGTAGTTTTCCTTATTTGTATTGTCCGTCTCGTCGGTACGAGTTGTCTAGTCTGTTCTATCTACTTGTCTCATTCGTAGTTTGTATATTTTTTTTACGTGTCTTCTCTACACTTTCCAGTTTGCGCTGTGCATCTCTGTACTGTCTGTAAAAAAAAAAGTAACTGGGCTGTGCAATCAATCCCCATTCAGCGTCTTTTCTCGAGTGGCAGTCAAATTTGGTCTGTTTGCTACCTGTCGCGTATGCTCTGCCCGTCTCATTAGTACCATCTGTAATAATTTGTATCATATTCTTAGTTTTTTCGGTAAAGTCACGTTGAAGAGAAACAACAAAATAATAAAATATATATATAAAACAATAAAAAATTCTCACGACGTTTCGACCATAACTCAAACGGTCATCTTCAGGTGTGTTGGTTTGCATAATTTGTTTTTTAAACGGCGCATTTATTTCTTTATAAAAAAACGTTAGCGTCACGCGCAGCGATTTGGCAGTTTGCCCAGGACTAGTCCATCTATATTTTTTGAAAAGAGGAGGGGGGAGACGAATTTTTTTTATAATGTATGCTGTCTGAAAGCCACTGTAAGCGTGAACAATCAATTAAGAACTGAAATGGTTTATCTAATCTTTCCAATGATTGCTAAGATAGAATCCATCTTCTCGGTTGAAATTGTCTCTGTGCTTGTATATGTGGATAGCCTCATGAACGAATCTCTCATGGAAGCCAGATGGCTTACAAAGAACCTCTGTCTTGGAAAAGTCAATGGCATGTGAGCCTACTGAATTAGAACAATGATCTGCTACGGCCGAGGTGTTGGTCCTACCGTGTTTAAGGTCTGCTTTATGTTCACGAATGCGGTCCGAGACATGGCGTTTGGTTTCTCCAATGTAACTACTACCACAGAGGCAACTTAGTTTGTAGACACCAGGGTATTGTATGTCCGGAATCACATCTTTTACAGACGGAACCAGATCACGGATTTTATGTAATGTGTTGAAACGGACCTGGATCTTGTGTTTATTCAAGATTTTGGAGATCTTTTTTGTGATCCCAGCAATGTAGGGTAAAGTGATGGTTTTGAAAGGCTCCTCAAGAGGGTTCTTCTTCATGGTTTGAGTGATAGCTTTGCGGATTGTATAGTCGGAGTAACCATTAGCCCTAAGAGCTTGGTGTACGTGCTTGAGTTCACTGCTTATGTGTTCCTGGTCGGATATGCATTGGGCTCTATGATACAGAGTCTTGATGAGAGAATTCTTCTGTGATGGATGGTGGTGGGAATCCGGTTTCAGATAAGCATCCGTATGGGTAGCTTTCCTGTAGACAGAGTGGCTCATTGAACCATCAGGTCTCTTTTTAATTAGGACATCCAAAAAAGGTATCTTGCCATCTATTTCAACTTCCATGGTAAATCTGATGGCTGGGTGTATGGAATTGATGTGGTCGAAGAATTGGTCTAGAGCAGGCCGGCCATGTGGCCAGATGACAAAAGTGTCATCCACGTACCTCTTCCATAAGGTTGGGCGTAGAGTGGCAGTCTGGATGGCGTCAGTCTCAAATTTCTCCATGAAAATGTTAGCTATAACTGGAGAAAGGGGGGAGCCCATTGGGGTGCCCTCAGTTTGTTTGTAGAAAGTTCCATTCCAAGTGAAGTATGTATTGGGTAAACAGTGTCTCACCAGGGGGGGTACCTCAGTGTTTAGTCCTTGATGAACCAAGTCTTCAATGATTGCAATGGTGTCAGGTACAGGAACCTTGGTGAATAAGGAAACTACATCAAAACTGACAAGCAGGTCGTCTGGGGACAGGGAAATACCCTTGATTGTCGATACCAGGTGAGTAGAATTTTGTACCGCAGAGGTGGTCTTTCCAGTGAAAGGACGCAGGATTTCAGACAAAAAAGAGCTAGTTTGTAGGTGGGGGAGCTGATAGTAGAGACTATGGGACGAAGAGGTGTATCAACTTTATGTATTTTTGGTAAGCCGTATAATCTTGGTGGCCTGGCAGCAGAAGGTTTCAACGAAAACTGTTTAGATTGATCAATTAATGCGGTTGAATCAGAAATTATTTTGTTGGTTTGTGTGACGAGGCTGTTGGTGGGATCTCTTTTTATTTTTGTATAACTACCATCGTCGATGGTAGTTTTGTATAACTACCATCGTCGATGGTAGTTTTGTATAACTACCATCGTCGATGGTAGTTATACAAAAATAAAAAGAGATCCCACCAACAGCCTCGTCACACAAACCAACAAAATTGATCAATCTAAACAGTTTTCGTTGAAACCTTCTGCTGCCAGGCCACCAAGATTATACGGCTTACCAAAAATACATAAAGTTGATACACCTCTTCGTCCCATAGTCTCTACTATCAGCTCCCCCACCTACAAACTAGCTCGTTTTTTGTCTGAAATCCTGCGTCCTTTCACTGGAAAGACCACCTCTGCGGTACAAAATTCTACTCACCTGGTATCGACAATCAAGGGTATTTCCCTGTCCCCAGACGACCTGCTTGTCAGTTTTGATGTAGTTTCCTTATTCACCAAGGTTCCTGTACCTGACACCATTGCAATCATTGAAGACTTGGTTCATCAAGGACTAAACACTGAGGTACCCCCCCTGGTGAGACACTGTTTAACCAATACATACTTCACTTGGAATGGAACTTTCTACAAACAAACTGAGGGCACCCCAATGGGCTCCCCCCTTTCTCCAGTTATAGCTAACATTTTCATGGAGAAATTTGAGACTGACGCCATCCAGACTGCCACTCTGCGCCCAACCTTATGGAAGAGGTACGTGGATGACACTTTTGTCATCTGGCCACATGGCCGGCCTGCTCTAGACCAATTCTTCGACCACATCAATTCCATACACCCAGCCATCAGATTTACCATGGAAGTCGAAATAGATGGCAAGATACCTTTTTTGGATGTCCTAATTAAAAAGAGACCTGATGGTTCAATGAGCCACTCTGTCTACAGGAAAGCTACCCATACGGATGCTTATCTGAAACCGGATTCCCACCACCATCCATCACAGAAGAATTCTCTCATCAAGACTCTGTATCATAGAGCCCAATGCATATCCGACCAGGAACACATAAGCAGTGAACTCAAGCACGTACACCAAGCTCTTAGGGCTAATGGTTACTCCGACTATACAATCCGCAAAGCTATCACTCAAACCATGAAGAAGAACCCTCTTGAGGAGCCTTTCAAAACCATCACTTTACCCTACATTGCTGGGATCACAAAAAAGATCTCCAAAATCTTGAATAAACACAAGATCCAGGTCCGTTTCAACACATTACATAAAATCCGTGATCTGGTTCCGTCTGTAAAAGATGTGATTCCGGACATACAATACCCTGGTGTCTACAAACTAAGTTGCCTCTGTGGTAGTAGTTACATTGGAGAAACCAAACGCCATGTCTCGGACCGCATTCGTGAACATAAAGCAGACCTTAAACACGGTAGGACCAACACCTCGGCCGTAGCAGATCATTGTTCTAATTCAGTAGGCTCACATGCCATTGACTTTTCCAAGACAGAGGTTCTTTGTAAGCCATCTGGCTTCCATGAGAGATTCGTTCATGAGGCTATCCACATATACAAGCACAGAGACAATTTCAACCGAGAAGATGGATTCTATCTTAGCAATCATTGGAAAGATTTGATAAACCATTTCAGTTCTTAATTGATTGTTCACGCTTACAGTGGCTTTCAGACAGCATACATTATAAAAAAATTTCGTCTCCCCCCTCCTCTTTTCAAAAAATATAGATGGACTAGTCCTGGGCAAACTGCCAAATCGCTGCGCGTGACGCTAACGTTTTTTTTATAAAGAAATAAATGCGCCGTTTAAAAAAAAAATATGCAAACCAACACACCTGAAGATGACCGTTTGAGTTATGGTCGAAACGTCGTGAGAATTTTTTATTGTTTTATATATATTTTATTATTTTGTTGTTTCTCTTCAACGTGACTTTACCGAAAAAACTAAGAATATTAATTACTGCAGTCACGAAAGCTTTAAATCAAAATTTAATTTGTATCATCTTTCTCGTTTACTCATTTAGCTCTAAATGACATTTGCATAAATGTTGCGTAGACTGTAAAGATAAATTTATTCTCACATGTACAAGTCAATGTATCGTGCATGTTATACTAATTTTAGATCGATAACTTTATTAATTGTTACATGCAGGGTTAATATCAGTCGGTGCTTGGTTCTGTAAAATATTCCCATGTTGGGAAGCAGGGAGGTCTCGGGGGTTTAGGGCTCTGGAATAAATTCCATGAGAAACGAAGCCTTGGTTAGTTTAACACGTAGGCTTTCGCGACCAATATTATTCATAATAAAGGTTTTTGGGTTAGATCGCGTTTATTTATAAATGTGTCGTAACCCTCCACCACCCGACATGGCCAATCAGCAAAAAAAGTGTCACGTTGACAAAAGACAAATAATTCATTACTTTAGCCCACCGGTGTGTTGAAGAGTGAATCCACATTTACAGTTTGAGTACGACGTTTCGCTGGTAAATACATCAGGCGTGACACTTTTTTTGCTGATTGGCCGTGTCGGGTGGTGGAGGGTTACGACACATTTATAAATAAACGCGATCTAACCCAAAAACCTTTATTATGAAGCCTTGGTTATTTGCGGAACATCGCGGCGTTGCGTGTGGTTTTCTTACTCTGTAGCGGCGAAGGAGAGGTATTTTGAAAAGTACGTTTTCTTTCCTCCAGACAGCAATATGGTCACATTCTTCTCTACAACACACAAACATACAAGCATGGTTATTGAGTGAAATTGAACCTTTATTTTCATACAAAAAAATATTTTATGAGTTGTGGGCTCAGATCGACTAAATAGCGTATATGAATATTTTTACAATGCCTCATTACAGTGAGGGAAAAAAAGTATTTGATCTCCTGCTGATTTTGTACGTTTGCCCACTGACAAAGAAATTATCAGTCTATAATTTTAATGGTAGGTTTATTTGAACAGTGAGAGACAGAATAACAACAAAAAACATCCAGAAAAAACGCATGTCAAAAATGTTATAAATTGATTTGCATTTTAATGAGGGAAATAAGTATTTGACCCCTCTGCAAAACATGACTTAGTACCTAGTGGCAAAACCCTTGTTGGCAATCACAGAGGTCAGACGTTTCTTGTATTTGGCCACCAGGTTTGCACACATCTCAGGAGGGATTTTGTCCCACTCCTCTTTGGAGATCTTCTCCAAGTCATTAAGGTTTCGAGGCTGACGTTTGGCAACTCGAACCTTCAGCTCCCTCCACATATTTTCTATGGGATTAAGGTCTGGAGACTGGCTAGGCCACTCCATGACCTTAATGTGCTTCTTCTTGAGCCACTCCTTTGTTGCCTTGGCCGTGTGATTTGGGTCATTGTCATGCTGGAATACCCATCCACGACCCATTTTCAATGCCCTGGCTGAGGGAAGGAGGTTCTCACCCAAGATTTGATGGTACATGGCTCCGTCCATCGTCCCTTTTATGCAGTGAAGTTGTCCTGTCCCCTTAGCAGAAAAACACCCCCAAAGCATGTTTCCACCTCCATGTTTGACGGTGGGGATGGTGTTCTTGGGGTCATAGGCAGCATTCCTCCTCCTCCTCCAAACACGGCGAGTTGAGTTGATGCCAAAGAGCTCCATTTTGGTCTCATCTGACCACAACACTTTCACTCAGTTGTCCTCTGAATCATTCAGATGTTCATTGGCAAACTTCAGACGGGCATGTATATGTGCTTTCTTGAGCAGGGGGACCTTGCGGGTGCTGCAGGATTTCAGTCCTTCACGGCGTAGTGTGTTACCAATTGTTTTCTTGGTGACTATGGTCCCAGCTGCCTTGAGATCATTGACAAGATCCTCCCGTGTAGTTCTGGGCTGATTCCTCACCGTTCTCATGATAATTGGGAGATTGACAGTTCTTTTGTGTTTCTTCCATTTGCGAATAATCGCACCAACTGTTGTCACCTTCTCACCAAGCTGCTTGGCAATGGTCTTGCAGCCCATTCCAGCCTTGTGTAGGCCTACAATCTTGTCCCTGACATCCTTGGAGAGCTCTTTGGTCTTGGCCATGGTGGAGAGTTTGGAATCTGATTGATTGATTGCTTCTGTGGACAGGTGCCTTTTATACAGGTAACAAGCTGAGATTAGGAGCACTCCCTTTAAGAGTGTGCTCCAACCATCAGATTTACCATGGAAGTCGAAAAAGATGGCAAGCTACCTTTTTTGGATGTCCTAATAAAAAAGAGACCTGATGGTTCAATGAGCCACTCTGTCTACAGGAAAGATACCCATACGGATGCTTACCTGAAACCGGATTCCCACCACCATCCATCCCAGAAGAATTCCCTCATCAAGATTCTGCACCATAGAGCCCAATGCATATCCGACCAGGAACACATAGCCAGTGAACTCAAGCACGTACACCAAGCTCTTAAGGCTAATTGTTATTCTGACTACACAATCCGTAAAGCTATCACTCCAACCATGAAGAAGGACCCTCTTGAGGAGCCTTTCAAAACCATCACTTTACCCTACATTGCGGGGATCACAAAAAGATCTCCTAAATCTTGAATAAACACAAGATCCAGGTCCAATTCAACACATTACATAAAATCTGTGATCTGATTCCGTCTGTAAAATATGTGATTCCAGACATACAGTACCCTGGCATCTACAAACTAAGTTGCCTCTGTGGTAGTAGCAGACCTGAAACACGGTAGGACCAACACCTCGGCCGTGGCAGATCACTGTTATAATTCAGTAGGCTCACATGACATTGACTTCTCCAAGACAGAGGTTCTTTGCAAGCCATCTGACTACCATGAGAGATTCGTTCATGAGGCTATCCACATATACAAACACAGAGACAATTTCAACCGAGAATATGGATTCTGGCTTAGCAATCATTGGAAGGATTTGATAACCCATTTCAGGTCTTAATTGATTGATGACGCTTAAGGTGGCTTTCAGACCGCATCCATTATTTTTCGTCTCCCCCCTCCTCTTTTCCCAACATAGATGGACTCGTCCATCTGAACAAACTGTCAAATCGCTCTCCGTGGTGCTAACGTAAAAAAAACCGCCACTCTTTTTCAAAATTTCTTGCTGTGGTTTTCACACCTGATGAGGATTGCTTGTGTTGCAGTCGAAATGTCGTGAGAATTTTATTGTTTTATATTTTTATTATTTTATTGTTTCCCTTCTACGTGACTTTACTGAAAGAACCAAGAATATGAATCCCTGCAGTCAAAAAAGCTTTAAATCAAAATGTAGATAATTTCTTTGTCAGTGGGCAAACGTACAAAATCAGCAGGAGATCAAATACTTTTTTCCCTCACTGTACATTTAAAATGTCATACTGCTCGCGTGTTACCGCTATCAGATTTAATTTGGAATCCAAAAAGTGGCAGTTCGATCTCGTGGTGTGACAGTTGAAACAATGGGCAAGTGCTTTTAAATCTCCCTCCCCTGCCTCTATCCGTCTAGCAGAACGAATAGCTACACCACAGTTAGTCGATCAACAGCCCACGTGTGGTGGAGTGAAGTGTGGGTACTGCCACCTCTTCAAAGGCGTCTGGCTAGTATGTAAGAGGAGGCCGAATTATCTATAGACTCCTCTATTGGAGTCCCATCTACCAGCAGTGGAGTGAGCAAGTCATTCATAGGCTGCACCTTTACCTTTAACATTGATTCGTCCAGGACATACCTAAACTAATGATTTTCAACAAAAAAACTTCTGTTATCAGACCAGTCAATTGGTTAATTTAAATTCTGTAACAAGATTATGGCAGGGGTTGCCTTACATTGTATGTTTATAGGGGAAACACAAAATGTATTTGCAGTTATTTGATAAAAAAAGATAGCACTCTACATCAGCCTGTGCAGATATTCCATTAATTCTGTACAAACATTACTCAATACAGGGCTTTTCCAGGTCTCAGTAAATGGACACAAGATTGGATATGTTCCCTTCAGGGAAGGGCTGTCACTGATTTTCATGTCAGGGTCAAGGCCTTGATTGGAGTTAAGGTTAAGATGAATGTTACATTTTACAAGCTTAACATTTTGTGTTACCAGGATCACCTCTATATCAAGGAGCTGACAATTCTGAAACAAATTATGTCCAACACTGATTGCACACGTGCCAATAATTCCGCTCCAGTGATGTTATGTACAGGTACACGCTTCGGGGGGGGGGGGGGGGTGAGTAAATCTGCCACTTGTACGGATTTTCTGTCACACGACTCTTAACTTTGGTTGCAAAGGCATGGGACAACCATATTAAATGTGATCATGTTACAATTCTGCTTGCATTATATTTTTTAAACATGAAAAAAGTCTGCCTTTCTTTTCAAGTGTTAAAAGGTGGGTAACATTAATACATTGCCAAAACCAAGCAAATTACTAACTGTATTCGGCAATGACTGCTGCTGTGTCACAAAATATACATTGTTATTCAACTAAAGTGAATTTTTTTTTGGAATTATAAACTTTAACTCTAAATACGTATTTGAAACTCAAACATATATGTTTTATCCACGATAATGTGGGGGACGTAGATCGCACATCGTATTATCTGCAATGCTACCTGGAAATTTACTCTTGTCCGTAAAAAAATCATGGATAATAGGATGAAAAGGGGCACGGATAACAGGACTTTTATAAAACCCTTTAGCTGCTACAGATAATAGGAGTTGAAGTTATTCAGACGCCGGATAAGTTTGACTGTACAGGTATTCTAAAATAAAAATAAGGCCATATTTTACCAGACTTTCTATAATACGTCTAATTAAAAATATAGCTGGAAAACAGTATGTCTGCAGGCAGATATTGTAATTTTAAAACCCACTCATAAGTCACTGAAATGTTTTAACTTTATATTTCAGTTAAGTGTTATGATAATGGAAACGTATTCAAGCATGTCAGTACACCCACTATTCGTTAAGTTTTTGAAACCTACCTTAAGCTGAATTGCCACAACAGTAAACTAGGTGGTCAATTTGAATTTTGGGGATGTTACAGTATGAATATTTGTCGTAATTCAGCAGAGGTGACTGATTGAGTAAGTCGTATCTGTCTGAATGATCTAAAACCCCATAGACCCATTCTGTGCAAGACTGAATGATGTATCTCACCTTTGTTGGTGTTATTTCTGCACTACGACCATCCAATCTGGAAAGCTATGTAAATTTAGACCTGGAGATGTGTTCGGATAGGTGATCACCGTGCTTTACATTGTGTCCTAGGCTGTACGACTACACAGTAGGTGACAGATCGCAGTGCAGCAATATCCATTGTTGCACTGTACTTCTATGTTCCCTTCTACAACAAACGCTGCTGACCAGTCAGTGTAGAAGTATGGTAAAATTACTCAAATGACGCGGGGAAGACATTATTCATCGGTGGACAAGCAAAGCTTTTGTATTGACAACTTGGGTATGTAAACAGTTGTAGTCAAAGCAGTGATGATTATATTAACATTCCACTGCGTAGGGTCTTTTTTTGCAGTTCTCCTGTATAGCCCTCCGACTTGTTTCCGGATTGTACCGCGTGTTGGGTTGGCACTTATCGCAACCGGCGATTCGCTCCGCGTGCTGGGAGTTTGAGTTCCTCGAGAAAACTCGAGAGCACGAGTTCCTGATGAAGCTCCCCAGCACGTGGAACAAAACGTCAGACATCACGCTGAAGAGCACATGGTACGATCCCAAACACACACCGGAAAGCTATGTAACATTACACACTCAAATCCACACTATTGGGACACAGCTGTTATCACTAAGTTATTCGCCAGGTCAAATCCCATACAACGTGACAACGGTGAGGAATTGCTCATTTTACCCTCAGCTGCCAAGTCACGCCTTGCTGATGAATCTCAAGAGAAACTCGAAACAGGCCAGGGTGTGCCTGATTAAACGCTGCCGGCAAAACACTGGTCCAGAAGGCGAATAGGCTTTTGTAGCAATAACATTCTTGGCCATATCCCGGTGATTCGATACAATTTCTCGTTTGTAATATCTGTACTGTCCATCTTTTTTTGTAATGTGTTAAATGTGCTTTCTCGTCTGCAGCGTTCGTTTGTGTCATCTGTGTTGTCTCGTTTGTCACGTCATTTAAAAAAAAAACCTCATAACATGTTTAGTTGTTTTCATTTTTCCTTTTTTATTTGTTGCATCTCATTCATTCCCAAATTGATTCGATATTGAACACATAGGCGCACATTTTTCGTCAATTGTAAAATTATTCAGGCGCACTATCTCGTACGCGCGCCTACTTGTCTGCGTATATTGTTAAATATTTACTTGTCACACGATAAATACCCAAGTTGTGCTTCGAGAATGCTCACGACAAACCGCAGCCTTAGCCGTTGCCTGGAAGAGCTGCCTGCCGAGGTGCAACCGACACGGGCAGCTCAGCCAGGCGACGCGGGGGGGGGGCGGGGAGCGGTGGGCCTTACTGTCGGTGACAATAAACGCGTCAGTCTGCTTGTCCGAATTAAAGTCGCCGAAGGCGGCGAGCGAGCCGCGGCCGATCTGCCCGAAGACGCTGTCCGTCACGTTCACGAGCCCGCAGTGGCCGCCTTCAAGGAGCAAAGAGAACGCGAAGAACGCGGCGGGGAGGAGCAGCGCCATCCTCACGATCGCTGTACAGCGGCAAAAAAAAACCCTTCGCGCTTCCGTGTTTACACGCGGGTCGACGCGACGTTTTATTTCATACACCGCACAAGCCGAGATGTGAAACCTTAGTCCTTCCTCATTGGTCGAAGCGAGCCACACCCTTTTGTGGACATGGACCAATAGGAGCGCAAGGATCGGCGTATGAGGTGTATGAATTGTGAAGCGCTGTTCTCTTTGAGGATAATCGATACGGCCACTGTATTTGAAGGTCGTGAGAATCACAATGTACTTGTACCCGCCAGAGAAATGTGGAATTTCCATAAGTGTTTTTTGGGAGGGGTGGGAACATTAAGGACGAACACCGCTTAAGGGTCGTGCTGATGTGGGGGACAACCAACAATACGTTTTGTGACTTAAACTTCTAATAACATTACATCTTCAGGAGCATAACACAGTCCCAAACCCGTCAACCCATACGGGTCACCCGTATTCTTGTCCAGGGAAATTGAATTTTCAGGTTCATGCGGCGTACAGCCGTTTCTGATGGGACTTCGTAGGATGAACGTTGAGATTTATAAGGGGCACGGGGTGACCAATAAGGTCTGAATTGGTCTGTGATAAAGTATGCACTGATAAGGGATTGACAGGTATGCAGTCCACCACCAAACCGTAATCGATTTCAATCGTCCATCATCTCACTTAGGGGAAAAACAAAAAACGTATGCACCTCCAAATAAGCGCGTTTGGCCACGCACGGTGCGAAAGAAGTCCAACAGAACGCGTGCTATACATACAAAAATAAACATTACAAACCCGTTTACCCTGTCCCAGCCCTTTGCTGACTGGAGTCATCAAACGTGCGCCGTTTGGCTTCGCAAATTGCGCTTCTGCCTCTCCTCCATACACCACCACCACTACCGCCTCCTTCCTCCCTTTGAAACGCAGTGGTTTGCCCCATCCCTTACGAGCATGGCCGCCAACTCATCGAGGCCGCCGGTGCTTCTGATGATGTCGAGGGGGGTGGGTGGGTGAGGGAGCAGGAGAAGTCGGTCGGGGCGAGAAGCTTTGCGAGCTAGGGGAGTTGTCGGCGGCATGGCCGGAGTGTCTGTGCCCAGGCCGATGAAGGTGAAATTTGTCCGAGCAGGTTTGGAATTCTGGATTTTGCCCCCTCCTCCTCTTCCTCCTCCTCCCCATCCCGTCTCACCTCTCCATATACCTGTCAACCCATGCGGGTCACTCCACGTTCGTGTAACAGGGAAATACATTTGAGGTTTGAGGTCCGTACGGCGTAGAGCCGTTTCAATACGACGTGGGGGGGGGGGGTAAACACAACAAGAAATGTCTCTGTGTTTCTCCCTTGTGGACGCGACTTTGTAGGATGAACGTTAAGATTCATAAGGGGAACGGGGTGAGCAATACGGTCTGAATGGGTCCGTAATATAAGGTAAGGGGCACTGACAAGGGGTTGACAAGGTTTGGCCTCTTGCGTGTTAAGGTAGTCGCACTAACACGCTCACAACGCGACAACGCTAAGCCCCTGGTGTGGTTACAAACATCAATGCTTTGGGGCCCCGGGCTGGTTAACTTACTGGGTCGTGGAGGTGTGCGCGTTCGCGTGCGTCGCTCTGCGTTTGCTGTGTTGTTCAATTCGAGCTTGTGTGTTTGTCGCTGCGTTCTGAAACGGTGACAAACGTGTGCTTGTCGAGTAAAAGTTCATGCCCTCCGGTAAATGGTTACTGGTTGTTCCCGGTTTCCACTCAACATTGATGCGGCGGTGTGCAAGGGATGGACATCTATGGCGATTTGTGTTTTGTTTTTTTGTGAGATTGGCCTTCAAGCTCATCGATGCTGATAGCGGGTGACTTTGAGTGACAGCATAACGTGAACCACGTGGGGTTTTCATGCATCAGTGTGATAATCAAATAAAACAAACTAATTGTATGTATATTCTTGGTTCTTTCGGTAGAGTCACGTAAATAGAAAACAAAAAAACATAAAAATAGACAAAATAATAAATTTTAAATAATAAAAGCAAAAACCCACGACGTTTCGATCGACGACCGAAAAGTCGTGGGTTTTTATTTTAATTTATTTTTATTTTTTTGTTTTCTGTTTACGTGACTTTACCGAAAGAACAAAAAATATGAATGAATTCCTGCAGTCACGAAAGTTTTAAGTCAAAATTTAATTGTATGTACCCCTGGTCCATTCTCATTACAGGCCGACCATAAATGACGTCACGCACCTGGGGGGGGGGGGGGGTCAGACATTTGTGACGATGTGTGACGAGGGGGGGAGGGGGGTTTTAAGAAATGTGACGTCACATCAAAATGCAGACCTAAAACACGGTAGGACCAAGACCTCGGCCGTGGCAGATCACTGTTATAATTCAGTAGGCTCACATGACATTGACTTCTCCAAGACAGAGGTTCTCTGCAAGCCATCTGGCTACCATGAGAGATTCGTTCATGGGGCTGTCCACATATACAAACACAGAGACAATTTCAACCGAGAAGATGAATTCTGGCTTAGCAATCATTGGAAGGATTTGATCAACCATTTCGGGTCTTAATTGATTATTCACACTTACGGTGGCTTTCAGACCGCATCCATTATTTTCGTTTCCCCCCTCCTCTTTTCAGAACATAAATGGACTCGTCCATCTGAACAAACTGCCAAATCGCTCTCCGTGGTGCTAACGTTAAAAATAACCTCCACTTTTTTCAAATTTTCTTGCTGTGGTTATCACACCTGATGATGATTGCTTGTGTTGCAGTCGAAACGTCGTGAGAATTTTATTGTTTCATTATTTTATTGTTTCCCTTCTACGAGACTTTACCGAAAGAACCAAGAATAAAAAAAAGCCTACGTGTTAAACTTACAAGCATTTTACAAACGGCGGCATAATTCCGCACAGTTGTCGTGAGACATCGACTGGGTGTAATTGCCATGCTTGTAGTTGTGTCAGCATGCTCCGTTTCCTTCATGAAGATAATACACATTGCTATCAACCTATTCACGTTAACAAGAGGTACTGGAGTCAACCTTGGGTGCTAATCACACCCAGCGTTCTTTCACATGTAGCGTTTCAGTTGTATTTGCAGTTAATCGTCTATTGCTCAAAAAATATAAAAGTACCGTTACCTTAATGTTTTACATTAAACTGCAAGAAAATTGAGATGGAGACACACTAATGCTGTAGTTGTGCCTGCTCACCATGATAGCATAGCTGGCAATTTAATAAAAAAAAGTGTAGTTTTTATTTATTAATGAGTTTCAATCATTTATACAGTAATTTGTTTGAATGATGATAACTTTAGCATTTGCGTTCTTTGCTTTTTGCTGAAAACGTTGTTTTGAGGTTTTTTTTATTCCACTATGAAACACTTAAAGATAATCTAAAATTAGTTTGGCAACCAAATCAAAGGAGCAGCTGTTGTTTCCATTCGATGAATTCATTACATCAATAACTAATTTCCTCCATTAAGGATCCTGTAAATTGCCTTTGGGTTGCAATAGACAGTTAAATTATGTATTTTGGCAAAAGACCACAGAACAATGCAAAAATAATACAAACTAAAGTATAACAATGCGAGATATAAAATACACGTTTATAATTGTGATACACTTGTTAAAACCTTTTTCTCATAGCCTGTTCCTGAATCCATCCTAATGCTTCAATAATCAATTTAAACGATCATAAAGCTGTGTGAATTACTATTGTGTATAGTAAATGAAGAACAGGACACCTGACGAGTTAAATGGACCACATTTTGACCTTTCAGGTTCCACTCCTAACTGGCTCATTATTACGTAGCGGCTATAATGCATTAACAAACGTTCTACTTTTTAAAATTGAATTGGTTTCTCCACGATCATGCTTTGTGGACAGTTATTACTATCATCACGATGGGCCCTCCTTTGCCAGTATCAAAATATAACAATAGGGTTTCCCCTTTTTGTCTGGCAACAAAACAGCTGTGTTAAGATGTTAAAACACCAAACTGAAACCTTTTGCAAGGAATCATGTCTGCATTGACCACAATGCTTGTGGTGAACATGCCAACAAAAAAACAATACTCTGACAGTATATGCATTGTGTTTGAAACTGATTGGTCCACACCAGAGACAGATTTCTTTAGAGCCTCGTCTCAAACGGTGTTAAACAAGAGGATGCCAAAAGGCAAACAGCACAAAGACAATGCCACTATCAGAGTAATGAGAGCTCGGGTTGAGCATCTACATCATGGGACCTCCTTTGCCAGTTTCAAAATACAAGAATAGGTTTCCCCTTTTTTGTCTGGCAACAAAACAGGTGTTACGATGTTAAAACACCAAATTGAAACCTTTTGCAAGGAATCATGTCTGCATTGACCATATATACTTGTGGTTTTGTTGCCAGAACAAAGGGGAAAACCTCTTCCTATTTTCTTCTTTGGTTCTTTCGGTAAAGTCACGTAGAATGAGAATAAAATAATAAATTGATAAAATAACACAATAATATTCTCACGACGTTTCGGCCACAACACAAGCGGCCTTCATCAGGTGAAGGGGACGAGACTGTTTGGAGCGCTGTCCTCCAAACAGTCTCGTCCCCTTCACTTGATGAAGGCTGCTTGTGTTGTGGCCGAAACGTTGTGAGAATATTATTGTGTTATTTTATTTTATCAATTTATTATTTTATTCTCATTCTACGTGACTTTACCGAAAGAACCAAAGAAGATGAATCCTTGCAGTCACGAAAGCTTTAAATCGAAACTCTTCCTATTTTTTTTATACTGGCAAAGGAGGTGTAGCTGCTCACCCCGAGCTCTCATTGTCCTGATAGTGGCATTGTCTTTGTGCTGTGTGCGCCTTTTGGTGTCCTCTGGTCTAACACCGTTTTGAGACTAGACTCTAAAGAAAGCTGTCTCTGGTGTGGACTAATCAGTTTCAAAGACAATGCATATACTATCACCGTTTTGAGACTAGGCTCTAAAGAAAGCTGTCTCTGGTGTGGACTAATCAGTTTCAAAGACAATGCATATACTATCAGAGCATGTTTTTTGTTTGTATTTTTCACCACAAGTATATGTGGTTA